AAGCCCTAAGCTACATATGGTTAGATGTTATTTTCTGGATGCATATGACAACCTTTGTCTTTAACTAAACAGTACTTAGCCTGCTATTATCTGTTATTATGACTGATATGGCCATGGATCTGAGGTGGCAAAAATATTTATTTCAGCACAAATTTTGATGTCTGTTTGGGGACTAGGTGACTTCTGTAGCTTTTAACTGCAAGTATTTCATGTGCTGTGCTTACTTGCTCAGTCATGTCTGACTCTTTGTGACTCCATGGACTGTAAACTGCCAGGCTCCTCTCTCCATAGGGATTCTCCAGGCAAGAATATTGGAGTGGGTTACTATGTCCTCCTCCAGGGGTTCTTTCCAATCCAGGGATCGAACCCAGGTGTCCACCACTGCAGGTGGATTCTTTACCATCTGAGCTACCAGGGTGCCCAAGAATACTAGAGTAGGTAGTCTATCCCTTCTCCAGGGGATCTTCCCTACCCAGAATTGAACCTGCATTGCAAATAGGATCTATACCATCTGAGAGGCTTGTCAATCTCAATGTTATATTAAAGTATGTGATGATGCTGCTATTCTTACTATTATCAGTTTTCAGTGTCTTGACTCCCCACCCAACAATGTAGACTAAAAGAAATGTAGTGTCCACTTCACACTTATTAGGATGACTGTTTAAAAAAAATAAAATACTAAGTGTTTGTCAAGGATGTGGAGAAATTAGTACCTTTGTGCATTGCTAGTAGGAATGAAAAAATGGTGCAGCCACTATGGAAAATGATATGGTGGTTGAGCAATAACCTAAACATACAATTATCATATGAATCAGCAGTTTCACTCCTGGGTGTATCCCCAAGAAGAAGTGAGAGCAGAGACTTAAACAGGTAAATTGTACACCCATGTTCCTAGCAGCATTACAATATCCAAAAGGTGAAGGTATCAACAAATATGGTATATACACACAATGGAATATTATGTGGGTTTAAAAAAGAAGGAAATTCTGATACCTGTTGCAACATGGATGAAGCTTGAAGACATCATGTTAAGTGAAATAAGCCTTTTGCAAAAGGACACATTGTATAATTCCACTTATGTGAAGTACCTAGATTGGTCAAATTCATAGGAAGAGAAAAAGAATGGTGGTTGGACTTCCCTGATAGCTCAGTTAGTAAAGAATCTGCCTGCGATGCAGAAGACCCTGGTTTGATTCCTGGGTCGGGACGATCCACTACAGAAGGGATAGGCTACCCACTCCAGTATTCTTGGGCTTGCCTTGTGGCTCAGCTGGTAAAGAATCTAGCTGCAATGTGGCAGACCTGGGTTCAACCCCTGGGTTAGGAAGCTCCCCTGAGAAGGAAAAGGCTAACCCACTTCTGTATTCAGATTTGGAGAATTCCATGAACTGTATAGTCCATGGGGTCGCACAGTTGGACACAACTAAGCAACTTTCACTTGGCAGGGGCTGGGGCAAGTGGGGAGTGGGGTGTCAGGAATTAGTGTTCAATGCCTATGGAGTTTCAATTTGGGAAGATAAAAAAGTTCTAGTGATCAATGGTGGTGATGTTTACAGAACAATGTAAATGTACTTAATGCCAGAGAACTATACACTTAAGATAGGCTTAAAAAGTAAATTTTTTATTATATACATTTTACCACAGTAAAACAATACCAAAAAACTGCTGTACCTATACCCAGGAATAGTCTGCCACTGTTCCTGGGGGTTTAACATAAGAATTAGTCAATACTTTGAGAGAAGTCAATTCTGTTGTCCTTTCTAATGCTGTTCTTACCACAGCTCAGAGGTCAAAACAAAAATATTTTCTAGGGGTGCCTTATGTTTGCATAGCACTTTGTATTTGAAGAAGACTTTTATGTATCCAAACCCATTTAATCCTCGTGACAACCCTATAAGGTAAGCAGTATTACTCCCTTCTAATTGATGGAAGGAAGTGGAGCCTAAGAGATTAATTTGTCCAAGACCACCAGGATATTAAGGATGCAAAAAGGTTCAACTAGTTATCTTCTGACTGAAGTCATTGATCTCCCAACATACAGGAATAGTTGTCAACTTACTATGAACTTTACATTTAAAATGCCAAGAGCAAAGTGGTATGCTTGTTAAACTGAATAAAGAAAAGAAAAAGATAACATCATTACCTTCTCAGTGACCAAGGAATAATGACTATGTTGAATTTACGCTCTGAATCCTATTAACATATTTGTGGTTTTTTATGATACTCGAGTTCCAGGCCTTGGTCACGTTTAAACTCTGGTTGACTGTGTTTTTGCACTTTGGCTTCTGAAAATACTCTTGAATTTAGGGAACGAGGGCCTCTTCCTTAAAAGTCATTGTCTGAGGTTGCAGGTATTCAAATTTTAATTGAAATTCTCAAAAATTTTTGTCTGAGTCCAATAAAAACAAGTAGTCAGGTTGTTCTCTGATTGTTATGCAAGAACTGTTTCATTTTTAGCCTTAAATTTCCTTTTTTATTGCTCTCCTTGGAGTGGATGGCTAATGTAAATGGGAGAAACCTGGCAATGCACCATCACTACCCTTAACAATTTTATGAGCTCCCCGCTAGAACAAATGTCTGGGTCAGTGCAACCTCATGCACACAAGTTCCTCTCCCTTTGAAGCCTGCCATAGATAAGTCAACTCAAAACCTCAATTCTCCTGCTTCCGAATGCTGACCGAGTAGCTTTCTCTGTCTCTAGGAAGATTTGGTACCTCATGGAAGGCGGGTGTCATTGCCATTCCCTTTCTGTGTATAAGCCTTCTTGAATATATTAAACTGAAACATAGGTAACACCCCCTGAGACAATATGCAATAGGTTTTTCACCGTTTTTTGTAGCCAGTGAAAGAATTTTGAGATTTTGCACTCCTGTGTGATATCAGTAAAGTTGACCCCAATAGGTTAAGCATTGCATGTTCAAAGAGAGGGTCCCCCTCTTTCCTCTTTCAAGTTGTTCCAGCCAGTGTGAGGTGAAACTGGACAATCTTCTTACCATTGCATTTACAGCACAGATTCTGAAGTCAGCTCTCCCAGTCTCATGTATCTTGAAATGTTTGGAAGCATGCCACTTTATAGCGCTCACAGCATTTTGGGTCTCTCTTCTCTTCCATTTTGCTGTAAAATTCATAAGCCAGGGTGTAATGGGAAAATGAAGTGCTTTAACAACAAAATAATAGCTCACATCTTCATTTGAGCAACATCAGGCAAACTTTCCCCTTGGATATATCTAACTAATTCCTTTTATTCCCATAACTTACATTTATTAAGCACCTCTTCTGTACCAGAAACAGTGCTAAACACTTCATACACATTATGTCATTTAATCCAGACCACAGAACAACATAGTAGATACTAACTTATTCTCATTGTACATAGAAACACACAAAGTAAAGAGATTGAGTGCATACAAAGCAAGAAATTTTCTTGCTCTGTGTAAAATTACTTTTTCTATGAAATATTTTACAAACCTATCTCAAAGAGATTGTTATCTTTTATAACAATTCTAAAAAGAGCTTTATACTTCCAATTGAAAGAATTTTCAGAATCAGTCTTTCCAACCCCCATCAATAATTTATATATTTTAGTATTTTCTTCTTTCAGCAGGGGGGAGCACCAACTTTCATATTATTATTTCATGTGTTTCATATCTATTTTGTTTTCTCTCAGCTTTTCCCTTCTGCATGATTTAAACAAATAATAATAGCAGGAAATCCTGGTTAACATTCCTTCCAAGGTTATATTCTCTGATGCCTCAGTCACTTTGTTTTCAGTGTCAAACTATTTGATTTCCTGTATTCTACCAAAGAGTGAATGATATGAAGCACTTATTGTTTGTCATTGTGAAAATATAGCAAAAAAAAAATTCAATGGTAGACAAAAATGAGAAGTAGCTCCATGTAATGAATAAAGCAGAAATTATTTTTACTGCTGCCTAAAAGATGAAGAACATTATGAAGTCAAGCTTGTTTTTAGAAAGAAGCTTGGGTTTTTTTAAGACATTTTACTCTGGTATTTATATAATTTCAACAAGGCATTTTGCAATCCATTTAACATAAAATTAAAAAGATGAACATCTACTTTGTTCTCAGAATTTAAAGTGAGTAAAGATTATGTATGGGCTTCCCTGGTGCTCAGGTCAGTCAGGAAGACCCCCTGGAGAAGGAAATGGCAACCCACTCCAGTATTCTTGCCTGGGAAGTCCCATGGACAGAGGAGCCTGGTGGGCTACAGTCCATGGGATTGCAAACAAATGAGCAACTAACACCTTTTCAGACTATATATAAGAAATGGTTCTGGGCTTCCCTGGTGGCTCAGTGGTAAATAATCCACCTGCCAATGCAGAAGACACCCGTTCCATTCCTGATCTGGGTTGATCCCACATGCAGTGGAGCAGCTACTGAAGCCCATGTACCCTAGAGCCCACACACCCTAGAGCCCAGCACTGTGCAACAGGAGAAGCTGCTGCAGTGAGAAGCCCACACACCGTAACTAGAGGGTAGTCCCAGCTCAGAGCACTAGAGGAAAGCCTGTGCGGCAGCAAAGACCCAGCACAGCCAATAAATAAGTAAAATTTTAAAAAAAAGAAAAAGGAAATGGTTCTTGCCCTGATGAGCTTATGTTTTAGTGGATGAAAAGGATACAAATAAATTTAATTACACCCAAGGAAGTATATATTAGGTCCTTTTGCCTTTCTTCAGGTTCTTTAACAAGACCTGAAAATTTATTGTTTAAAATACATCTTGAAACCAACACAACATTGTGAAACAATTATCCTCCAATTAAAAAAATAAACTATGTCTTGAATCTATCATCCTCTTCAGTGAAACCCTGATTTTGAGTTTCAGAACTAGCCTAATTTTATGCTTCAAAGTTTAGATTCTGTTTTCCCTTCATTTATTGTCTGATTATTGTGATCAATTCTTAAATCTGGATTGAAAGGCTGAGAGACACTTTCATGTTACTCCCTTCAAGATACATCTTTATGTTCCTCTTCTACTAGAGTCATCAGAAATCGGACCTTCCCTTGTGATTCACACCACTGTCCCATTTGGAGTTACACACTTGGAACACAGCATTGAGGATGTGCAGGAGTTACTCTTCCAGCAGCTGGAAAACATTTTGCCTGGTTTGCCTCAGCCAGTTGCTACCAAATGCCAGAAATGGAGACATTCACAGGTAATCAGAGAACCCAGTGGTATGAGCACAGTTTTCTTAATCAGATCTGACTCTACTTTTTCTCATCTTTTGCCACTCTCTAGTAAAAGAAATTAACATGTGATCTTGGGAGCAAATATGCATTTGTCTAATAGAGAAGTTTACATGCAAGTTTGTATTATCCTGTTATTTCTCAGTAAGAGACACATATAATTTTCCCCAATTCTATGTTCAGATTCTAGCATCTAGACTTATATAACCTGAAAATCTGGGGTTTCTTATGCAGGCAAGGCAGGTTATATATCAAAATGCAGCTGTTTCTCTGAGGTTTTTCTAAATCAGTACTGTGGTTATATAGAAACCACTATAACCTCCCAAATTTTTTGCAATATGTCAAATTAACCTTGTAAGTATATTTTGCTACCACAATTTTCATTTTTATTAAGTTCCCACTTTGGTTTTGACTGCTGCCGGTAGAGATGTTCGGGAGAGAGAACGAATACCTGAATAGATCAGGTATAAGTGATGAATGAAAAATGAATAGATCAGCTAGTTGAGCTGTTTTTTCAGGATTAGGTAAACCTGCTGATCAGTCTACTAGTTCAAACTGAAAAAACTCCTTACACTCAGTAAATGCTGACTTTCCTGAAAATCCTCTGTATATTCCAACAGAAGTTTCTGAGTATTCATAGAAAAAGTATTGATGTGTAAACTCAGTTGTGAAGTGGTTTGGGGACAGTGGAGCAGAGGGAAAAGGAAGCAGTGACTTGTCTATTTTTTCTTAAGATTTCCTAGCACATTGATTACCTGATTTATCAGCACTATTTGTTACTAGAGCTGTGAACCCTTTAGAAAAAGTGGTTGGGAGAAATCACAACAGATTTTATATATTTTAAAGGACTTTCCAAAATCAGAGGAAATGGTAAATTCCTTCCTAAAATATTGCAGCAGTTCTATGTGTTTACCCATATCTCTCAAGTTAAATTATACAGTGAACCTTTCAGGAAAATATTTACTTAAACACATCATGGTCACTTTAGAAGACTTCTTCCTTTTAAAACAACTTTTTCAAATCTCAATAGCCAATGTCTTTAAATGATATTTTACTTAATCTTAGGTTGGTCTGAAAAAGAAAACACGGAAATAATCTTGATATAATTTGAAACTAGATATTTTACATAGCAAGTGAAGTGAAGTGAAAGTTGCTCAGTCCCGTCCGACTCTTTGCAACACCATGGACTATACAGTCCATGGAATTCTCCAGGTCAGAATACTGGAGTGGGTAGCCTTTCCCTTCTCCAGGAGATCTTCCCAGCCAAGGGATCAAACCCAGGTCTCCTGCATGGCAGGTGCATTCTTTACCAGCTGAGCCACAAGAGAGGAGCCGTACTTCTGCCTGTCATAACCTTCCTTCCCCCAGAATTCTTTAGTAGATTCCTTTATAAGGCAGTATTGCCTGCCCCTCTAATAAAACCTCTGGGGAGAGCACCAGCCCTTTAAGGCTCAAGCCACTTTCTGGAAGTGACTGCTTTCTGAAAGAGGTAAGGGAGTATTTTGTGTAGAGTCCATTTTATGTTTCCTTGATGTGGCTCTCCAAGCCTTCTTCTGCCTCTAATGTCTTATATCCACAGTGGCAGGGCTGGGGGGAAGGAGAGGGGGGCGGGCAGGGTAGTGAAAGATGGTTGTTCATTTATTCATTTGTTTACTCGTTTATTCCATGAGCATATAACAAATGCCTAGGTCACATCTAATACTCTGTCCATGGAATCCTAGAGACTAATCTTTGCTGAAAGCCTTCTCCTAAGACGCTAAATCAAATTTTTTGCCTTGAGTAGGATAGCACTGCTTTCTAGCGAGTGCTGCTATTAAGGAAGGAGGCAGATGAAGAAAGAAGGTGTGTTTGAAAGACTTGCGGGGCTGCTCTGTGCCTCCCATTTGGGGTTTGAATAAAACACATGAGTAGGTGGTTCAGACAAACACAGCAAAGCAATGGCAGATTTTTTGTGATTCTCAGTTCCTCCCCTTTGCAGCTATTTGCCTTCCATCATTTAAATGCTTATCCAGTTAATATACCTTGATGCCTAAGCTGTGATACATTGAATTAAGATTTCTGTAACAAGTATGATATATTAATCCTCTCAGCAGAAGAGTAATAACTGAAAACAACTTCCATGTACATTGACAGGGGACACTTAATCAGTTTGATAACCCTAATCCTCTCACCACTATTATTCGCTGTGCTTCCCTTTGTTTCAGAGTCTGTCATGATGTCTTTCCCAAACTACTCTAGTTTTATACATTTACTATAAAAATATGATTTGCTTGTGAGTTTAACTCTAACTTTCCCCCATATTTCTGTAGTTTCTAAATATTTCAGTGCCTTTTTTGTCATGTAGCACATTCATGGATTACTCTTTAATAAAAAATAAATAAAATAATCACTGAATGCATTTCAAACACCATGGGGATCAAGAGAGAAATTTAAGGGTAGGGAAAAAGGAGAGTCAGGTGGTAAATGAATGCTTTGGTATCTTTGGCAAAAATAAATGGATTTGGACTAGCCTGTTAAACTCTTGCTGTAAAATTAGAATTGTTCTCTTCTGTAGTTGCATTTCTTCACTTGGTCTTTTGCCCTGAGGCTGTACTTTCTCTCTGCTCAATGTGAGCCCTTTTATATTCTTTAAGAAGGATCATGAACTCTTTAGGAACCTCATCAAAGCCATGAATATCAAGATGTACAGCCTTCAAAATATACATGTACACATAAACACAAAATTGCATCTAATTATGAAGATTTACAAGCAACCTAAAATGCCTCCCACGAATCCAGCATTAAGAACACCTGCTGTAAATGTTATTCTCCTATAACCCAAATAAATCAAGAATCCCTCATAGCTCAGTCTTGTGTTGTGGTCAAAGACACAAAATTCAGCAACCTAAGGGAATGTAAAGTAATTCTTATCTTTACTAGTGTCTTTTATAGATCTTTAAAGATATCCAAAATTCATTATCCTTAGCAGTACTTTTTGAAGTTTCTCTTCTCATTCCTTATATATCCCACTTCTACAAGCTCCCTCAAAATTTTTGCACCTTAATTCTAGTTTTCCACAGAGTTTTCCAATTATCAGCCATGTGGGCTTTTCTTTTTTCTTTCCTTTCTTCAGCTTCCACTCACATTCCTCATTTTTGACTCGATGTTCCCTGCCCACCCCCCCCACCCCCCGCCAGATAGGAAAATCTAAGAACTTTTCAATGCAAATTCCCCATTTGGCTTCCTCAGGTCTTCCCCAGTTGATTACCTTCGTTGGCATAGTACTGCTCAGGAGTTGGAAGGAATAAAAGAGAAAATAGGTGACAACTTAAGGCCAGAATTTTTCTTAAGAGGTTTGTGTTTGGTGGGACAGGGTGGCGGGGTGTGTATACACAGCAGAGCCTGAAATCACCCACATATTTACATTATTCCCTTATGAGATTCATTTCTGACCAGTAGCTGTGTCTTATTTCAGTGTTGGAAGGTCAGGTAGATTTTGATAGTTCCTCTTTTTTTTTTTTTTTCTCGCATTTTCTGTCATAACCTCCTCACTGTCTTCTCTTTGGTAGGGTGAAATTGAAAAGCAGTGACTGATTGATTGTATGAATATACCAAGACTATAAATTCAAATGAGTGTCCCTTTCAACATAGTCAGTCACCCTATTAAGCCACACCCTTATTGCAGCCAGATTGGGCATCTCCTTAAAATCCTGACACTTATTCTTCAGCATGTACTCAGTTCAATCAGGTCTTTGAAAGGTGAGCTTGAATTTAATGTTTCAGAAACAACTCAAGTCATTTGGACATATATCTTTTTAGTAAAGTAGATGGGCAACCTTGATGATTTTCTTAAATATTTTTATATAACTAAAGAGATATAACTGCTTGTGTTTATCTGTGTTAATGTGTCCAGTAAGCTGATTCTAAAAGCTCCTACCCTAAAAGATGTTGGTCAGTGCATCACTACAGATTTAATCATATGACCTTCTAGGATAAGTGCTTTGAAAGACAAAAGGCAATTGTGTTTATCAGTTAAAGTACATTAGGTGTGTTGTTGGATAATTTATTTAACGTGGGGTGATTATGACTTTGGGCTTTGGAGTCAGATAGACTTCGGTTCGAACCTCAGCTCTCCCTGTGCCTTTGAGTAAGCTAGACTATAACTCTAAGCCCATCTGTAAACGGTACAACTGAACCTCCCTCATAGGAAGAGAATGACCCCTCATAGTGGTCAGAATGGAAGGAGAGAACACGGTAGAAAACATTTACTGTAACACTAGTACAAGGCAAGTTCTCCATTATTGCTAAATAAAAATAGCAACAGGAAGAGGAAGACAGGAGGTGGGTGAAGGTGACTCTATGGTGTTTCTCAGTAGATGAGCTCTGTGTGTCCCTCGCTCTTTTCTGGTGTGGCATGCTGCCGCACTTCGTGTGTTTTGTTACTCACTCTCTTGTCTTTTCAGAGTCTCTGTCTTTTCTCTCCTCTCTTTTTACACACACACATATTTCTGGACAAGGATATTTCAGGACTGACTCAACTCCAGGGGCGATGATGCCAAGTCATACCATAGGGACTATCAGAACAAGGTCATATAAAAGTGATGAATCCCTGTGGACACAAGGAATTTCTTCTCAGTTTTTTCCAGCTTATAGGTTTTTCAGTTTCCTGCCATTCATTCCTAAACTAACTTACATGCTGTCCAGTGTCTGGTAATTTAACACAATTTACACCATGAGTTAAAATTTCCTGGCGTGAGGTTATGGCCTCAAGAGTACCCTTGCTTCTGTTCCATAAGTTTATGGTAAGACATGGAGAGCTGAAACAGACCCTTTGGGATTGGTAGGCTATGGCCTGATCTAGTCTGCCAAGAGCAGGAAATCTTAACAGGTGTCAGTCCTAAGCATTCCACTGAGTAATCTCTCACCTCTTTCTCACTGGTACAGAACTAACCCATTGCTTCACTTTATTATGAGGAAGCTACGTATGTAT